TTTTTTTTCAAATTTATACAAATATCAACGAACCCACCCTAATTATTTTGCAACTCAAACTCCACAGGTGAGAGCACTCTGAAACGTGTGGAAATTGACCAGAAACTCCAAACCGTTACTGTCAAAATATCCGATGTTAAATCTCAAATTCCTCACTGGCGTGATCAGCTGAAGCCGTTGCGTCTACACCAGATTCCCGGTGATTCCGAACCACAACCGCCTCTCAAAACGTACACTGAAGAAGAGCTTGCCGCACATACTCTCCAAGATATCCAATACAAAGAGAGTGTACAGGAAGAATTGCTAAAGAAAAAGCCCAACCTGTCGTGCATCGACGAATATATTGAAAAGCGTAATGTATATCTGGAGCGTGTAAAAGTACTGGAAGACATCACATCAAAACGGAATGAAATGCGGCAGCTTTACGATGATCTACGCAAAAAGCGTTATAATGAATTCATGCAGGGGTTTAAGATAATCACACGCAAGTTGAAAGAAATGTATCAAATGATTACACAAGGAGGTGATGCTGAGCTGGAGCTAGTCGATTCAATGGATCCTTTCACGGAGGGTGTAAGCTTTAGTGTGCGACCACCGAAAAAGACTTGGAAGAATATATCGAATCTGTCCGGCGGCGAAAAAACGCTGTCCTCATTGGCATTGGTATTCGCATTACATTACTATAAGCCTTCGCCATTGTACTTTATGGATGAAATAGATGCGGCACTTGACTTCAAGAACATCTCCATTGTGGCCCACTACATAAAGGTTAGTCAAATAATAAAAATAGAATTTATAAAAATGTATTTTTAATTTCCAATAACCCACCGCTATACAGGAGCGCACCAAAAACGCACAGTTCATCATCATTTCCTTACGTTCAAATATGTTCGAATTATCCGATTATATTGTGGGTATATACAAAGTAAAGGACTGCACAGATTCTGTGACGATTAAAAATGTTCCGCCACCCCTGCCACTCACACAAATGCAAACACAGACACAGACGCAGTCACAAACAACATTCGATACTAACTCGATGTTTGACCAACTCAAGACCAAGTTGCCCGCCTTACAAGTTATTCCATTATCGCCTTTAGAAGAGAATTCGGAAAATGCGCCTCCATCCCAAGAACGTGAAACCTTATCTGTAGCACCAACGCAAGGTCGCGATACTACTTTTGCGCCGCCTTGTGAGAGTACTGCCCTATCGCAAATGGTTCAGAAGGACCTCGGGAGCGATACAACACGTTCGACAATATCGGCTGTCGGCACTAGTACCAACAGCAGTATTACTGACACATTCTTCAAGAAACCGCTGCCGCCTGCTCAGAAAGCAACATCTTGAGATGTTCAGCGGAGATGTAGTACTTGTTAATGTTTTGCATGCACTATTTCTTTTATTTTACTTTTTTTATAAAGCTCCTCCCGTTGTTAAAACAAAATTATTACGATTACCTAAACTTATAAATATTGATCTGATTATAAGAATTTGTAACGGTGATTAATTTACGTATGCATATATTTTATTCATTTTGGTTTAAAAGCACAAATAATAAATATAACCAAATTTAAGCATGATTTTTTAAAACAACGTCGTCAGAAGTCTCACTCACGCGCTTTCCAGCCCCATAACGATCTTTTGACAAATGTTGGCTAGCGCCTCG